TCTGGAGTTGGGGCCACCAGAAGTGGTGCTAAGTCGATTTTCATGAGAGGCCGATTGGCGCTTTCGCACAACCTAAGAAAAGTGAGTCCCCATGGGGGAGACGTCACGCCCCAAATAGGTGCAACTAACGGCATGGCCAGTCCACTCCGAGCTACTAACCTAGCTGTCTTGTGGGATCGTGTGCGGCACTCTATGTATCCTGAAATTTTCCCAAATTGCTCAGCTATGTCACTTTGAAAACCGTAGATCTTCTTCAAATCAGACCATCGACTTCTGCTGTACAAGCAGAAAAGCATGCAACCACACGCTACCCTGTCGATTATGCTGATCTGCTCGTTGACAAGGCACATTTCCAACTTCTCTACTTCTGCAACGGTCAGAACCCGAGCTTGTTTCTTTTCGGATCTGTTAGCGTCAGAAGCTTCCAGGATCCTCAAGGCTTTGGGCGACGCAACTTGTTCCCCGCCTGCTACATTGATTCCCAAGAAATGCTGGCAAAAATTGAGAGCTTCAATGAAACCGTGCATGGCCGAGGCAGGTCTGCCCTTGTTTCTCAAGTACATCAAAAACTCCTCTATGGAATCCGGCGTAGCTGGAAAAGGCGCCAAATGGAAATACTTCTCTTTGTACCACTTGAAAAATGAAAGAATGCTGGACCCTCTTCTTAAGATGGTATTGGCGCTTCGGTTTCCAAAAACGATCTTCAAGCTGTCTAAATCGTGCTCCTGGATGGATTTTCTCAGGTCGAAGCCTCTCGGCCAACTTTCCTCAGAGGATGAGAAAATTATATACCACTTCTCAAGCGCCTGTCTTACGGCCTTGTCATCGACTTCCTCTTGAGACATGCTAACTCCGAAATTGATAACTTCACTGAAAGCCCCTCGACGAGTCCTAGCCGAAGGGAGAAACGTCTGTCTATGAGCTGACTCAGAGGGCAGAGCAGTTAGGATCGGCACGGGCAAAACTGGCACCGGCATGATCGGTTTCCTGTCTTTCTGAAGAATGTTTGCGATTCCTTTTCTTTCCCAAGGAAATTTGAACTTCAGAGTGGGGCCTATTCCGAACGAGCTATCGCCTATCATGGCTCGAAGGTTTGCTTTCTCCGAGGGGTCCAAATCACCAACTTGGGAACTCTTTCTCAAATCACTGGATTCAAAATCTGGACATTCAGAAATAGACCCATCATCAACACCCCCAGGAGGAGTCAACTCATTGGACGCATCTTCAAACGAAGGCAAATCGTCTATCCCTACAGGCAATGGAACACGGATGGAGTCAGAATCGACGGATGCAACTTCGGCTTCCTGGCTGGAGCCCACTGTCTTGGATTCGGATGACATGAAGTCGGGGCTCACGGGGCTCAGATGTCTGCCTCCCTTTCGGATAGGTCCATTCACCTGAGATGCCGTCGAGCCACTATGCGCTCATAAAAACCAGTCTGATGGTCAGATGAAAAGATTCACTTCGAGCAGAAATGAGAGTATCAAAAAGATTGTGGAGGGCTCGACGCTCTGAGAGGGAAACTAAACTCACGTTCTTCCCACCTGTGCAAGATTTCAATCAATTCATTCCAGAACTCCTTGACATCAAAGGAGAGTTAGGTGGCAAGTCCTCACTTGAGGTTCAACGTCAAACATCTAAAAAGAATCCAAACGTTGGGGCACTTGCCTCAGCTTCACTCGAAGCTTCGCCACGTAGTGACCTGGAAGCAAATGATGAATCTGTCTCGCCTACTACAAAGAGACCCTGGGTCTGGAAGAACATGTTCCATGTTCCACACTTGTGGAAATGACTCATACCCCATCTCAGGCCTATGCTCCAATCTTCTGCCGCACACTTGTGCAGGACCAATGATTAAGGCCTGAAATCGCAGAGATGTTCCCAAAACTGAGTGACCACAAGCAGACACTTGTCATGCCGTGATGTACAACATTTCCCATCGGCGTGCTGAGACCGTCACTCGACGTCCAACACACCTGAAAGATGATAAAGCTATCACTGGTTCAGCACTCTGCTAAACTACATGACATAAAGATTCGAGTTTCAGTCACTTGACCGAACGTCTGACATCGAAATTCAGTGATGCACCAATGAGGTCGATACCCTGCCAAAAGAATCGGGGAACCTCTCTCCCGCCCTGTAACCAAAACTTGCTCACTTGAGCCTTCATAGCATGCATTGATGATCCATCAGAAAGGATGAGACATGAAAATCCCAAGTCTTACACTGAATCAATCACACATGTGATGTTGCATTGAATCTGAAGCTCTGGAATTGTGCACAAGTTCGAAAAGGCGCCACATACCCCCGATGAAACTTTTTGACATGTGCATGTTGTGGTGGAGCGCGCACGGCGCAAAAGCTCTCTAAATAAGGTAAATGGAGAAAGAAGGCAACTGTCCAAAACTGAAGCCTATGCAGGGCCGTCGTCTGCAGGTGGCACATTGGGATGCGGCTGCGTCAGCCCCAACAAAGGCGCGAGCTCTTCTCGCCAGGCAGCAAGGTTCTCGAGGGCTGTTCCAAAACGATTGCGTAGCTCGTTGAGCTCACGTCGCAGAGTTTCGATCTCTGTTTTGTTGTTGCGCATTTCGCGATATAACCTGGCCAAAAGCTCGACCACCTCGGTCTGGTTGAGGAGGTGGATCTCAACGTGTACAACTGAGTTGTGAGCTGGGTCAGCGGATGCAGAAAGCACGATGGAATGTCCATGTCGAGCTGAATGTTCGACCATACGTCCGTATAGCTCCACATTGGTCACCAAGAGATGATATCGGTAGTCCGTGGACAAGTCAGTATCCCATGGGGTCCAACGGCTCAAGACCGATTCAATGCTTGGAGCCAGCGTGAAGTATGGATGAGTGGCCATCGGCAGGACGTAGTCGTTGATTTCGCAATTGGTTCCTGCACATCCTAAAAAGGGAAGGATCTGATCCAGTATGGGCGGAGCGTGTTCGGGCTCCTGTGAGAATTGCACCCGCAGCGATGTCTGGTTGGACGCTAGGTCAAGTACAGTCGGCAAAGCCATTAGTCGTCGAGCTGAAAAAGCCAGAACAGAAAGAGTACTGTTGCTGCCAGAAATCCACTGATTGTTCCCAACAACCAAGCTTGGAAGGTGAATTGGGATGAAGGACAAAACTCAGGTCGTCCAAGATGAAGTGGAGCTCTGATAGCGACGTGGCCTTTTGCAATGGCTCGCTGACGTGGCTCACGGGGCATTCGAAAATAAAGGTAACATGTTGTTGACGTGTGATACTGTTGACAACATGTAATCTGATAAAAGTGGACATGTCAAAATCATGCAAAACCATGTTGGGCATGATATGACATGTAGTTCTTTTTTCCGGCACTTGCCTGGAAACGCTTCACATGAAGCTGGAATGATAAAGGGCAGCGGATGTTGGACAAGTCTGAAATGGTTCATGAGGTCATGCGTGTGCAGACGTTTACTAAAGTTCACTCCACATATCTTCTCAAAATAAGGTGGTATCATGTTCCATGAGACTCAACATATCCTGCGGCCTCCAACAGGCTGAAATTTGGGGCTGAACTGGAATAGTAGCCTTTTCTGTGATTGGGCTGAAAAATAGCCTGACTGCCAATTCGGGCAAGAAATGCTATTCAGGCAAGACTTGCAATTTGACAAAGTAGGTCTAAAGACACCTTCCCCGAACAATCAGGGCTTGAATTTTCTCTTGCATGTGCAGTTCAGGCAAGTTTTGAAAAATTGTGTCAAAGCAAGTCGGGCGAGAATACCCGGAAAACAGGCGGGAATACCCGGGAAACAGGCGAGAATTCGCGAGGAAAGGTTTTATCTACTGGCCATAGTTTGTTTTTTTGCGGACTCGTTTGTCCAGGAATGGCGAAGCAGAAATCCGGAACAGTGACTCAAAACAAAAACGCACAAATTTCCCTACAGGCGAGGATTTAGGGTCAGGCGGGATTTCCAGGGTCAGGCAAAAAAAATAGGTCAAAGCACACTCGGGCTCAAATTTTAGCCTGCGGTGGCTATAGGATATAATTATATAAATACATATTCTATACATTTGTATGTGGAATTGTGTGTTGTATAAAAAGGTTCTCCCTACCTGAGCCCGACGAGTACAATTCAATATTGAATTGCTCTCCGCTGTCGATCATCATTCATCATCATCATCATCCATCAGTCAAGAATCGTGCCACCATCAGAAGAATCAAAAGTCATAAGATAACAAGTCTACAAGATTCTACAAGATCATGTTCATCATCCGTCCAAGATCAAGATTCATCCAATCGTCGATCATCCGCCAGTCATCAAACCGCGAATGGTGCAAAAAAAACCATTCCATGATGATGATCTCCATGCAAAGCCACGGTGCAGGCAGTAAATTGCCCAAGCTACACTTGCTAGGAATCCGAAACCGGCTATCGCACGTTTGAGCTGACAGCCAGCTTCAAATGGCAGGTTCGTGACGTGTCACTTCTGATTCTGTGCCAGTCTTCTGTCTTTTCAACTAACTATTTCTAAGAACTAAGGAAGATTGCCAGATCACGAGGAATTATCAGCAGCTTGAAAGCCAAAGCCTTTCAAGCTGCAATCTCAGCAGCGGGTGGTTCCCCACAGTCGCATGGCGGGCCCTCCCAACACGCCTAGCAACAACTGGAACTTTGGGAGAACATGAAAGCCGCCGAGGCCCCCAGATAAAAACATAACAAATAACAACAAAAAGCAACGCATCAAAACAACCGAAATCAAATTCAATCCAGATAAATTGTAAGATAAACATTACGTCAACCATCAACTAACTAATTCTGATTATGTCGTCCTTCCGGACCGAAAACAACGCTCATTCACTCACCAAAACCAAATGGGCCCCGATCAACTAGCAACCTCTACCTGGAAAATGATTCAAGTCAATGACTTGAATCCGTGAATCAGTCGATGAAATGAAAGACTGAAAGATTGATTGATGCCTAAATCTAAACTGTACACTGTACACTGGCACGGAGGGACGGACTGTACACTATTTTAGCAGGTGCTTCCCAAACCTACGCATCTCACCTTCGATCTCCTTCAAGCTTTTGTTCCCCTTGTTAGTCTTCTTGACAGGTGGAGCCAAAGAACCGGAGCGGCGAAGAGCCACAATCGCAGCTTGTAATCCCAGGGCTCCGGCTGCCACATCTTGATCATCTGACGACTGACCACCACTGCAGCTGCCAGCGCTGCCACCATTTCTGGCCGCAAGAACTTTTGCCTGCGCTTCCCGCAGCTTTGATTCCATGGCAGCAGTGCCAGCGGTCTTGCTGGTCTCCGCATCCGCCATGGTCTTGTTCAGAACGGTCAGATTGACATGGGTTGGAAGTTTGCAAGCCGCCAAAGCCTTCTCAACTGCTGCTTTCACACTCTCCTCTTGGTTTTGATTTTGATTTGCTTTGTCCAATGCCTCTTGGGCCAAGGTTGCTTCAAGCTCCAACCGGGCAACAGCATCATTGGCAGCATCCTTTTTTCTCTTCTTTGCATCTTTGCTCTGCGCAGCGGCATTCTTTCTCACGGCTGTTTGAACGAGTGTCCTCGCAGCTTTCTCAGCCTTCTCCTTTGCCTTCTCATGATCACTTGTGAGTTTCTCCATCAAGTTCTCGATGGGCTGCAGGCACTGCAAGGAGGCATCAATCCAACCTGAGTGAATCGACAATGGCCGGCTATGGATGGACAAAAGCTGGCATCAATTTTCATCATTTTCATCCATTTATCAGCATCGCCATCATCATCATCATCATCATCACCATCATCATCACCATCATCCATCATCATCATCATCATCGTCATCAGCATCAAAACTGTCAGGAATTTCATGCTGGCCAAAAATGCAAGTATGCAAGCGTAAAAGCTAAATGCACCAAACAAAACGCACATATTTATATATATAGAATGTATACACCCAAAAATATATAGGTCTTTTTTAGTTCAGTTTTCATTTTAGCATTGATAAATATATCGTTTGTTTGCTCGTTTATCAAGCAGCCCGCCCCGAAAGTCAAGTAACAGAACGTCGACCCAGCTTGGTTGCACTTCGCTTCCAGAGCTTCTTGCGCCTCTTTCGACTCGGCAAAGTGGAAACAAATTCCCTCAGGTTTGTGGCCATGGGGCAACTCCAGACAGATCTGGTACTCCCTCTTCTTCTGAACGAAGAAGCTGTCACATGCTTTGCTCACTGGTTTTGAAGACCAAGCTGGAATGACTACGTCGGAGTTCATGCCCTCTGATCGTGGTTGAACATAGAAGGACATGCCAAAGACTTTGCAGAAGAAAATGGCACCTTTCCCATTTGCCCTGGACACCTGTCCCGCAAATGGCAAACAGATGTCACCACATGGCACTTTCACCCTCACAAAGTTCTTCTTGTCTGCGATGTTGAGCACAACCAAGTTGGAGCCGACTTCAGCATGCTTGAAGAGCTCCCACTGCAGCACTTCAAGCTTTCGTTCCAAAACCTTGCAAAAGACGGTGTCCAACTCAGTCTTGTCGGTGAAGCCCAACATCTCAGCTTCTGGCGATGCATCCAAGATCTCCAATTTCTTGATCAGGTCCGAATCTTTGTAGCAATTCGCTTGGAGCAATGTCATCCCAGATGAAAGCGATGTTGAATCATCAGGTTGGACATTAGAGTTTTTCCTCTTGATGCCTGACTGCTGCACATCATCATCTTTGGCACCATCCTTGGAGCCCTCGGTCTCCTTGGAACGTTTGAGGTCTTTGTCACCGTCACCTGTGCCAAGGCATTATCCAAATTCCCTGAATCAACCATTGGACCGTTGTCACAACATGTCACAAACATTCTCGGAATTCAAACCAATGAAGCAGTCATGAGTCATGATGAGTCATGGGAAACTGTTCGGTCGATCAGCAGATGGGCCATGTTCTGCGACAACATGTAACAACATGAAAGAAGGCTTTCATTTATGTTGACATGTTCACATAGCATGTTGAAATATCAAAAACTATACATAAAAAAACAAATTTGGCCAAACCTGCCTTGCTTCTTCACATACTGGACAGACTCAACATCCAGCATCTTTTTGCTCTGCTGCGGTGAAGATGATGGTGCGTCCACAGTCTGCACGCTGTGCATGGCCTTGGACCTTTTCATGATTGCTGCACAGCTGCAGCAAGAGAGAAGGGTAGCCCACTCCTTCACCCAGAAACGGTCAAACTGGATAGAGTCGAACGTCACCAGAAGATCAAACCAGTCATGTCCCATGGGAGCGTCGCAAAGTTCCAGCAACATCGTTTTCTTGTTCATATCCATGTCACTGATGCGCATGTCAGGCATGCCCAAAGTTTCCTTGATGACGACGAGCAAGTAGCGAACTCTCAAAGATGTAAACAAACGGAGGTTTTCCACAGTCGCAAACACCTCCGGACAATTCTAGGGGCTTGCATCAGCTCAACAAAAAGACACTCTTTGCCCATTTGCCATTCTGAAAGACCATGAGGGTGATAGACTGGTTGGTGGTGAATTGTCAGATATGCTTTCAGAAATTGAATCTAGAGGCTGCAAAACACAGAACTCTCTTCTAATCCGGCCTGATCGGAATTCTCAACGAAGTGGCCACGGTCTGCGTACGCTGAAGTCACGTCAAAGACAAATCCCATGCACGATGAAGGAGTCTTGGCATTGATAGACCCAAAGGTTGTGGCTAAGACCGCTAGGAAGTCAATGGTGCCGTCTTTGGACTTTTTGGCATGTCCATGATGCTGGTCAAGGAATCCCGCACTGCATCATGCATCATCAAAGGAAATTGCAGCTTGTTGCCGATGAAGAATTTGAGCGGAACGATGATCTCCTGGCCATACGGAAATAAACGACTAATAGCCTTTACGTCAAAGGCTCGCCCTATAATATATATATATATATGTATATATGTTGATTGTGTACAGTCGCGCGATATCCAGTTTATCCAGTTTACTTCCGTTTCCACCAATTCCGACTACTTTACTCTATGACCAAGTCTGACGAATTCTGACTAGCTAGTAGTTACTCGTATAGTTACCGTTAAAAGACAACACGTTCACGATTCGCCGACTTGTTGTCACAAGTCTCCTCTTTCTTCAAGGTCATCGCGTCGCAAATGTTTTTGATTGCTATTTCATCAGGGTCTTCTGCGTCCCAAATGACTGAAGTCACCGGCTTGTCCAGGAAGTTCTTTGCAAGTCAGCCAGTTCAAAGAGGTGTGTAGGTTCGTTTCTGCCCTTTCTCGGTGGCCGGGCCATTCTTCTTCCCATCAGGCTGACCATCACCACCAGGACCGGGACCTCCATTCTTTGAAAAATCCGACTGAGTTTGGACACATTCCAGCCTTTTTTTCCGTCCAACGCCTTCATGGCTTCCGCCAGGTCGTTACACACGTTCGCAGCAAAAAGATGAATTGTAATTATCATGCAAGGCTGTCTACTTGTCGATAGCCACAAAAGCACTGGTAGGGACCTGTACGCAGTCCAGTGAGCTGTCCCATCAAGAAACAAAAAACACAAACCAAAAACAAAAGCAACCAAGCAAACAAAACACACACAACCACAACCAAACCAAACCAAACAAAAAACACAGAGAAGTGGGATCGCTACCAGCAATGAGAATAACATGCACGATGACATCTTGTGTGTCATTATGAGTATGGCCACCGAAAAAGAAGCAAAACCAAGAAAACACAGAACCACACAAAGGGGCCAGGTAAGAGGGTGATAGAAGCAACAAAGCTCAATGCGGAAACCAGGGATCCCCCCAGCCAGGATCCCCGAGATCACAGAGAGCAGCCGTTCAGGCATAATTTGGACACATTCCAGCCGATCAATCATCAGTTGTTGCAGCTCCGTTCGCAAAGATGAATACTGTCTGTATTCCCGACCGCCAGTGGCAACCTTTGCCGTGAACGCAAACTCGAAGAAGAGCGACATGCAGAAACCAAAAGTTCCCAAAGCTGGCTCTGCAACATCATCAATCTTGCATCAAGAAGCTTCTTCAGAATGAAGTTTTTTTTCCGTCCAACGCCTTCATGGCTTTCGCCAGGTCGTTAAACACGTTCAACCGCAGCAAAAAGATGAATTTTACTAGTTTTCTTTAGCTAGGTCAGCCATAAGCAACACAATTCGCACCTCAAGGCGATAGATAAGCTTCGAAGGGTTGCCCCCCCATTTTTTAACTTCACTTGGACCGTCTTTGCAACGAGAACCCCGACACAGGGTACAGGTTGTTCGGGGTTCCCTAGCTTAGCTGATCCATTGGTAACATTTGAACCCTACCGCCTTGATAGTCTCTCACAGCACTCGTCGTACAACAGAAGCCTGACACCGGGTACCGGTTGTTCAGGGTTACGCCCACGCCAGGATGATACAACAGCTAATGGCTGAAAATCGGTTCATTTCCTTGGCGCCTGATGACCCTGACGACTCGGATACGGACATGGAGCCAATAGAGCCATGCGTCACAGAACCCCGTGAGGATGCGTCAGCCGACAGTGACCACTCGGTCTACTTCGATGCTCTGGAGGCTGATGATGACACTCCCTACTTCCAACAAGGAGCTGAGCTTCCCCCACGCGAGGAGTGGGAAATTGCCGCGCCTATTGACTTCTCCGACGTCCAGGGCACCCTGCAGATAAGCCACCAACTGGACGAACTCTTCCTATCGGAGAAAGAGATTCTTATTTCCAAAGATTGAACCGCTTCGCAAACATTTTTCGCAAATGACTTACGCGGCAACAAAACAAACAAAACACATATAAATTAAAAATTAAAAGTTGTCTCAGCTGAATCTGTCGCCGCGCCATCTTTTTCCACAGCAAATGGGGAGCATCCGTCCACGCCCCGCCATCAGGGCTTAGGGGGTGGCCTCTACAGTGTAGAGGTAATAAATTGTGGCAAAAAGGGTTGGGAAAAAAGAAGGGAGGGATCTTTTGCCACCGAGTGAAACAAAACACAAAGGGGAACCCTCCCACCACACCCTTAAGCCATAATGTTGCACACGCAACATATAATTACAACTGACTCATTTGGTTGAGTTAAGTTGTTGAAAGGTTGTGTGAAAAATTGGTTTTGCAAGTTGTTGTTTCTGCGTAGCAGTCAAGGTTGAATGTTTGCCACAGCTAACTCTTGTTTTTCAAACCAAGAGTTTTCAAAAATTGGAAATAAGGTTTTCATCCCTCCGGGAGTAAAAACTTATTTCCAAAGATTGAACCGCTTCGCAAACATTTTTCGCAAATGACTTACGCGGAAACAAAACAAACAAAACACATATAAATTAAAAATTAAAAGTTGTCTCAGCTGAATCTGTCGCCGCGCCATCTTTTTCCACAGCAAATGGGGAGCATCCGTCCACGCCCCACCATCGCCCCATTTACAACAGGCGTGACGAAATCCTAGACGCGATCTCCATCCATGGTATGGTGGCCTTCCGGCACCCTAGTGACAGCAGCCGCTCGAATTTTAATCGGCTTGGCTCATCACTGATGTTGCTGTGCGATGGCACTCGGCTAAACCAAGATTTCAGCTGCAACGCCGCTTCGGATTCACAAAAAAGCTGGATGATTGCATCAGCAACTTTAGTGGCTCCTGAACCTTTGATGAGCCCTGATCTGGCTGCATCATTGTCCAGGTAGCAGACAACTTGTGACTTGTCTACCCAGGAGCCCCACAAAAATATTGAAATGAACAAAGGCAGCAATTCTACTTCGTAAATGGGATGTGCAGAATTCTGGTAGAAAGCTTCCTCCAGTTCACTTGGTAGAGTGTCACCAAACATGGCAACCGGTTGTCCTCTCGGACTGATTAATACTCCACCAACGGAAGATTGGCTTTCACAAGCACCATCCGTGAACAAAATCCATGTCTCAAAACTTTCTTCGAAACTTCAACAGGCTTGCTTGCTTCCACTCGATGCAAATTTTTTTCCAAAACTCCCCGGAGGTCATTTCCAACGGGCCAAGGATTTTGACTCAGACATGTACTTGCCCAAACTTGAAATGAGAAAATTGGCCTGTCGCCCACAAACGAAGTTTTCAAACCACAAAAGTCGACCCCTGAGCCTCTCAATTGATTTGGCACTGCACTCGCCCTTCTCAAGCATGTCTCTCAATGACTCAGCAAGTTCTGTCCTCCTGGATTCCGTGTGCCCCACAAAGACCAGTCTGTCGACCATGCATTGCAAATCAAAAACAACTCCAAGTGAATTGAAACGTGTGTCAAACTGTGTGGCCTTCTTGCCCTCCTTCGCAAACAAAACTCCTAACACGTCAAACAGGCATTCAGCTGCCCAGCTCGCATTTTTCGCACAGTCTTCTCGGCTGATCAGTGTGTAGTCATCGTAGAATGCAGTCCAAGCCAATTTGAGCCCAGCCATTCCTACATACCACAAAAACATGGATATGCGAAGAAAAGCAGCAACGCTCCCAGTCGCGCCAAAAGGCAACGAGTTGACCATGAGAAGAATAAGTTCAGAGGCAGAAGGCTCGCACGTAGCAACACGAATGCGTTGCCTGTCTTCCGTACATATCCCAAACTGTTTGTAGGCGCTGCGCAAGTCAATTGTCTTCCCCAACATTTTGGGGTGCTGTTTATCCCCATTGGAATCCAGTGAGTGCGCAAGGAGCGCGGCAATGTCGTCAATGCCAAAAATCTTCAGCCTCTCATTCATGCCAGTCGTTTGGTTGACTCCTGCAATGCTGAAGTCATCAATGACCCTCACCTTCTCCTTTTGTTGCAAACCAAAACGCATCGCCCAGGCTGCGTTGTCACCTTGCCCCTTGTCAACTTCCATCCAACCTTCCTCCAGTTCCTTGCTCGTCTCTGCCCATGTGATTGCTGCCATCTCGTTGGAGCCGGCTGCTAGGACCTTGGCTTTGACATGTGCGTTCATCCCTTTGCTCAGCGACTCTAATGTGTCCACATCAAGGCTCGGCTCTTTGACTTCCTTCGGAAAAACGTTTGAATCTGGCATCCATCCAGTGATGGGGAAGCCATGCAAAATATCGTTGACCAACCTCTTGTCCGGGTAGTCGAAAAAGTCGACCATTTCCTGCCACAACGCAAGTCTCTTTCCTTTGAGCAATCCACGTAGATGGACTGGCGCTTCGTTCAACAACTCTGCATCTGCCGATCTGAGCTTTTGTGCCCTGTCAGTCCAGTGTTTCACAAAGTCAATTCTATGTTTGAAAACATTGTAAACGGGTTCTTCTCTGTTCCATTCCACAACGCTCTTCAAGTCTTCAGGAAGCGATATAGCCACGCTTCTAGGATGGCCAACTTCCACTGCTCTTTTCAAGAAGTCCATTGGCTCTCTTGGTATTGCGACCACCACTTTCTCACATGCTAAGTCACTGTCAAAGTTTTGCTCAGCTCGTTCGGCATCCATCAATACTTTGAAATTGGAATTTTTGATGCACCCCAGTTCTGCAAAAACATGTGCATATGAAAATTCATCCACTGTCTCATCAATTTGCTGCCCATTTTGCATTTTGATCGCATCCAGTTTTTTGGATAGCTCATGCTTTTTCACCTGCCGTTCAATCGAGTCCCGCACTTCACCCCACGTCAAAACTAGACGCGATTGTACACTGGATCCTTTTGGCAGAGTTTCCATAAACGGCTGCAAAAAATTGTCACATTGAGCATTGATAACCACATTGATGTATGTACCAAATTCAGAAACCAACGGTTTGACATGTTTGCCCCTGGGGAGCGCTCCAAGGACCACCCTGTTGAGTGTTTTACCATGAAGTTGTGCATGTTTGGGCACATCATTGGTCACTACCGCACCTGCAGCCAGCACAATTGCAAGCACTATAGAAGCCATGCGTTCACAAAGAAGCTCTGGATATGCAGCTTCTGAATGCGTCGGGTAGTGGACTTTTCCGTTAATCACCGAAGGCGTCCATGGAGCATGCGAATGTTGTTTGTCACAACGGAGCTCTAAGGCATCAAACCAATTCACATTGGTTGCGAAACATGTCAATTTGTCTCTGGAACCTCCATGTGCACAGTTGTGAAAAGTAATGAATTTCAATTGTGGAAAGGAATTGAAAAGTGATTTGAAAGGAGAAGTTTTCCACATCAAACTGTTGGCCGGATTCTCAATGGTAATAGCAATGTTGTATTCGATAGCGACTTGGGCAATGAGAACTGTGGTTTCATACAACAAATTTGCTGCTTCAGTTCTCAACTTGTCTGTGCCTTTCAGCCACGGATACCCGTCTGGGTGATGGTCATCCCTCAGTGGTTTCGGCTCTTTGATGTTGAGGGCTTTAAGAAAGCGCAATCTCTTTCCCCTAGCCCGGCTAGCCGTTCCACACGGCGGTGCCATGTGCACTCGAGCTATCTGTTTAGCTCGTGCCTTGATGAAACGTAAAAGTGAGTTCACTTCTTCCAAATTGGACAAGTCGAACTCCAAAACATTCTGACCTTCTGCCCTCTTTGAGGATTTGTCAAAAGCCAGCCCCTTGAACCCCTTTCGTTTGAAACTACGGGTCAGTCGAGCTGTTCCAGCAAAAAGCTCCAGCACATAGATGTCACTGAGCTTTTGCCCTGCAAACCAGTTGTCACCTATTTGTGGGGCTCAAGGCGCCTTTTTCTGTGCTGGACCGAAGGTCTTTAAACCTATTGATTGTATCCATTTGGATTACCAATCATTTCATTTATTTAAACACTGCCATTGGTCTGGCAGGTCCTCTGAGACTGCCTCTACGTGTCAAGTGGTATGACATCGTGAGGACAGCTCATGAGCCGGCCTTTCCAAGTGGTATGGAATCGGACCGCTCTTTATTTCTAGACCTATTCCAGTCCCCCTGCACGCGCCAGAGCCAGCAAGGGGCTGGGCTATACCACGACCCCAAAGAGTCATGGCCGAAAGGCCGTTACCGGGGTCTTACTCGCCCATGCACTGATCACCCTGTGTTGACCCGCAGAGCTTCGTAGACCCGGGATTTGCGCCAGGCCATCCTGTAGGTAGAGGCGCGCAACAGATAAACTCCTCCATCTACCACGCACGAGAATCGATTCCAGCGCGGTGTTGTTTTGAAGTAAGTATGTAGCTCCTCCTCGACGAAGAGAGTAAGGTTTAAAGTTAAGCCCGTCCACTTTGAAGAAGTTGCAGAGACCTCGAAAGCTGGCACGGAAAGATTGTGCGGATCGAGGCCACAGCGGAGTCCCTGGAGACGGCCGCTGCAACGACACCAGGGTGTCCAGCAACTGCAAAGTGAGCCGATCTCGGACAGCTATGGCTTCTTGACTACCTGTGCGCAGCCCGGTCTTAGACTGGTGTAGGCTAACCACCCCGCACTCCTGATTGAATTCAATATCACCAAACCTCAGCGCCAACAGCTCTCCGGTGCGGAGTAGCCCGTGAAAGCCCAGCGCAATGAGGGTGGCGAGAGCGATTTCATTGGAGGATACTGCTTTGGCCACAAAAGCCCGTGCCAGCTCCTGAGTCAGGGGCGGAGCACGGCAGGGGGTTTCGATTTTTCTCCATTGCTTGAAAAGTCTCCAAGCACCACGTAAATGACCTCCAACTTCGGGCCAATAAAAGTGGAGTCCAGAGAGCGCGTCAGCGATCAGCCCCACAGACTCTCCACGGACCCACTGCCATTCAATCCAGTCACTGATAACCTCATCCAGATGGTGCAAGTGGGGTTGCGCTTCCAAATACGGCAGGATGCCTATGGCGGGTTTGACTCGTGATTGAAAAGTCACGCAGTCGAGTCCCCGCACGGCGCCTCGGGCGTTCTGCTCGGGTGCGTCCGGCAAGGAATGCACGCGGAGGGATCACCGGCATCACTGCCTACTCCCGGCATCCGTGGGATTCTCGAGGCTTGCTACGTGACCATGCAGCACAGTCACCCCCAGAAAAATCTGCAGCGCCCCGATCTTGTTACACAGCGGCTGCAGCAACCGACTGGACGTTCTTCCCTTTGACAGGATGTACAGGCAAACCATACTGTCTTCTAAATGTAACCAGCGTTTATTTATGGAAGAGGGGGACCTAGCTTTCCAAAGCAACGTAAGGAGGATCATCTTCATTTCCAGGAAGTTAATGTGGCTAGGATCCACCCACCGTACCTTAAAGAGATGTTTCCATTGCCACCACCACGCACGAAGTGATCCATGTGAGCCCCGTTTGGACATAGGCTCCCCCGTTAGCACCCTTACATCTGAACCAGTATGATTAACTTGCAGTCCCAGTTGCCTCACCAGTTGATCTTCTGGATAGTCTTGGTCTGCGTCTCCTCCATAGGCCAACCAACGTCCAAGTGGAACTCGAATAGAAGGATGGGCTGAGGCCCCTGGGGCCAGCCCCAACCTGTTGATAATTTGCGATGGCTTCATTCGCGGTGCCCAGCTCGCACACATTGCTGATGCCATGATAGCGAACGATGAGACCGCAAAGGAATCACCGCACAAACTCTTCCTGCTGTCCTCGTAAGCCGTCCAGTTGGCCTTAGCTACCGATGCTGCTCGGCAGGTGCTCGTATGCCCGGGTCCCAGACCCAGCAAGAGCTCACGCTCGGTTGAGTCCAGGGTCCTAGGCGGCGCATCCAAGTGGTGCATCAAAAACTTTTCCTCTGAACTGGTCCGTCCGCCAGCGATGTTGGGCCCCAAGCGATGATTTGCTCAGCCCGGCTGGATGAGGTGGTGGTCTGTCTCTCACCATACTTTTCATGAAAGTGGGGAGCTTGCACTCCCCGGTATCCCCTCCAGGCCAGGACCAACCAGGGCGAATCCACTGCTTCGTCTCCACCGACCCGTTCTCCACGTATGCCCTGATATAGTCCCCTTCAGTCCATAGGCTGAGCTCCTCCATCTCGTACAAGGTCTCAGAACACCAGGCCAGCCTTGGCCTATTGAAAGGCAAGGTGTCTGAGGGGTCCAACTTAACTGGTTGTACATCAAGATGGGAGCTGATCTCTTTCCTGGCCGCCTCGTCCATGGAAGCGACGTTCTCGATGCAAAACCGCACGGCCGCATGGCCAGCGAACACTTCTTGTACCCATTGCAGTACTTCCAATAACTTCCAGAATAGACGAGAACCTTGGCCCTGTAGGTTTTGTCGATAGGCACGTACCCTGGACAGGTGCACACAGGGGAAGCCTGCCCACAGGTGCACTTCTAGCGCCCGTGGGTACATATTTGCCCATCTCTGCACGTCCTGCTTGGTCAGCTCCTCAATATCCAAAAGTTCTTCCACGCCAGGCCACGTGCACCTAGTGACGCGGTTGGCGTCCTTTGAAATTTCCACACTGATGCGCCCGAGGGGCTGGACCCCCAGCACGTCATACAGGCGGAAAGCACCACCGACCCCATTAAAGATGGATATAATGAGGAAGGGATACTCAATGGGCCGCATCCATGAACTTTGTAGGGAACCTACAAGAGAGCGACCTGACCAGCTGAGCCGCACGCTTTGAGCAGCGGCCCCACCTGTCTCCGAAGCGTCCGAGCAGGTTACTGACCCGTCATAGTCGCACCTGAGGTCCGTCTGCAACAAAGGCCCCAAACAAAGTAGCATCTGAAGCTCCTGCAGCATCAGATTCGTCGCTTTTGGGCTGGCCCACAGCGACTCAACGGCATCCCAAGACCTTGAGAGGACGCTCATCCCGGCCCGCCGAAACTGCAGTATAAACACCCAGCGGCCTAGGACGATCTGCGCGCCTCCTTCTTTGAACCGCCTTTGAGTTGCAAGATCCGCACAGTGGCAAGTGCAGTCTTGAGCAACCGTTCGGCTGACGCACCTAATACAACTTGACTTCCATCTAGGCGTATCCCAAGCTCGGTCGCGCACTCCGACCCAAGGACCTGTTTGTCATCGGCCGTCAGTACCCCAGTAGCATGCCATGCACGCATCGCCTGGGCTTGGAGGTCCATGTCAACCTCTTGATAGGTACCTTCCACGCGCTCTGCCGCCATGAAGTTGTCCAAATACACCTGCCACCAGGCACGTTGCATAGTGGCCTGGCCAACCACGTTGGTAAACCAGCCTGGCACGGGCCGACCCTTGTGGATCTCCAACCCAGCCGGCATATCTCGCTGCAACAGCAGCTCACGTGACAGCTGTTGCATGATTCCGACGCTCGAACTCCACCCCATAGGAAGGACCACACAACATGGTCTGTATAGTTTCCCTGGTAACCGCACAATTGCTGCTCCATCCACTGAGAAATTGAAGCACAAAAAGCGGTGCCAAGCCTGGGGTATGGAATATACTGAGAAATTGAAGCACAAAAAGCGGTGCCAAGCCTGGGGTATGGAATATAGATAAAAAGCTGCACTCATGTCTCCCTGAGAAATCCGAAGCTCCTCATTCTCGTTCACCACCGAAGGTATCCATGCTGACCCGCTAGGAAGGAGGTGGACATCGCCATGAATCACCTGAAACAAGCGGTTAGCCGGAATAAGGTTCATGATAACTCGTAAAACGGGGTGACCAGATTCAGTAAATTTCCCAGGCTTCAGCACGCCAAACATGCCGTTAAGACATGAACCAGTCTCATCCTTATATACCTCGGAATCAGCCAACCATGAGATCACCCCACGGTCTTCCAAAAGTCCAAAAACGTCCAGTTCTTCGCCCTTCTTAATATGTACTTTTGCCTGCATAGGACCCGGTCCACGCTCCCGCACTGGGATGAAACTCTCCAGCGGGTTTTCAACCAAAAATTTAGTCCTACCCTTTAAAAAATTACAAACCGGTATACACCCCCCATGTCCTTTTGGCGGGAGGCTCTTTGAAATCTGCCCCGCAGTGAGGGCCACAGGCTGGGAAACTTCCTCCCCAGTATAGCTGACCCTTCTTTCTTTAAGTTCCCGGACAACCTCATCAAAAGAGAACCTAGCCGGGTCATCCCTAGTCAAAAACCTCCTAATCCTACTGCGCAACCCTTCCAAGGCTGCAGCATGAACTTTTCCCGGGCGACGCTCCGGGCTCTGTCGCTTGAAACCGTACAAGCAGTTGAGTGCCACGCAAGAAAGCGCCACCCAACACTCTACCGAAAATTCTGTACAATGGGTGACAAAGCTTTTGTGCCACCTCTGGAAAAAATCGGCAGGCCAGTTGACCGGCAGGGGAAACAGGGCTCCGCCACGCTTCATCCGCGCAGAGGCCTGTGGTGGTCCAGCACTCGAATTGCCAAAAAGCATGTGCCCGGAAAGCTGTCCCCATGCCAGTAAAACCCTCAGCTGCCGCAGGTTAACAACCTGACTCAAAGCATAAAGCCACCCCTCATGGCTGGCCAGCGTATCGTCTGTAATCTCCGATGCGCTACACCACCTTCAAAGGTTACAGCGACGCCATCACAAATGGCCGCTGTTGTCGTAGTGCGCACCTGTTGAAGACACGGATCTTCGTCCACGTCTCCTGAACCTCGGCTCGAGGTCATGCAAGGCCCTGTAGCGCCAGCATGCTCGGGAAGCAAGGGGCACGAACCACGCGCCCCAGCTTCCCCAACCACCGGCTCTTCCCTCGGCTCAACCAGAGCCATCATAGTGTCCTCCTTATTAAGCTCAGGCGCTGCAGGCTGAGACCCTGCGCCCGGCTGCCTCATCAGGCGGCTGCCTCCGCCCCCTTCTTGCCATCGCCCTTTTCTCCTGCCGGGGTGCCCCAAGACTCCCAGCCTTTGCCTCCTTTTCCTTTCGCCTTTCCTTTCTTTCCTTTTCCTTTGCCATCCTTGTGCTTGCCCTTGTTCTTGCCGCCTCCTCCATACCAATCTCCTGACCAGCTCTGCGATTGGCTCCAGCTTCCTTTTCCCCCGGCCTTTTCCACCTGCTTCCCGTGTTTCTGGGCCGCGAGTAGTACATGCGCTGGAGTAGTGCCCTCTTCTTCGGGGTGGATCTCTAAGTGACGCGCTGTGGCCCAGCCCTGCTTGGTGCTGGTCTCGACTGCCATCAGCCGAGCAGCTAGCATGTCGGCCATCGCGTCGAGCCTCCCCTCGCGAAGAAGGTCCAGAGCTCGGCACAGCAGTGCCAGCTCCTTCGCATCCCTGCTCTTCACATCGAGGTTGGGGCGTAGGGCCAGCTGGTAGTATGTCACCAGCTTCGGCCGCTGCCCATAGTCTTCTTCTCCTCTTTCCTGATCCATCACTCCGTCCTGAGCCAAGAATTCGTAGGCCTGGTGTTCCAGCATCTTGAACACCGACACAGGCTCCTTCATTGACTTCCTCTTGAGCGGCGGGTGTAGCGAGCTGCTTTCTGTCGAGCTCCCTGAATCGCTGCTCTCGTCCTCGCTGCTCTTTTTCTTGCCCTTGTGCTTCTTCTTCTTTTTCTTTTGGCTCCTGCTCGACTCCCTCTTGCATCGCGTCTGCTGTTGCGCAAGGGCCGCCTGGGCCAGCGCGTCTCCTATCCTCACCTTCTTCCTGGTTTGACTCCTCGATGCTGAGCGACTCCTGCCCCTCGTTAAATCGATCATCTCCGTCTTCACCTTGTCCAGAACCAGCGTCCCCGGAGCAGCACGGGTAGCCTCGGGCCGTCTCAAAACCCCAGCCCGGCGTCCACCCGGCTCTCCACCTGGAGGCGGGGTAGATGCTCGGTCTCGGTTGGCTCCTCGGTAGATTGCCAGCCTCCCTCTCTTTCGAAGGGCCCTTTGACCTTCCCTGTTCTGACAGCTCTAGGCCTGGCCCATCCTTCACCTTCTTCATGGCATAGTTGTTGAGGAAACGTCCAGAGTAATCGCCCGGTGGGAACCAGCGAAACTCTTTGAGATGATACCCTAGCTCGTCTCTTTGGGGACACGCCCCATTGGGACCAGGGTAGCAAATATGAACTTGCCGGCGGCCACCCTTGAAATACTTTTGCATTTCTTTTTTCGTGGCGTCCTCTTCCGCCCCAAGCACATTGACCTCCAGCCATATGCCATCGGGCTGGCTTGTCCGGCCAGTGACCAACAGAGCCACTAACCCCTCTGGGCTGGCTCCATCCTCTCCCATAGAAAGGAACTCCAGCACTGACCCTGCAGGGACGTGCCGATGAGTCCAAAAGGCGGCCTCTTCGACGTTGTACTGCTGCATAGTGGTCGGCCTTGGGGCGTCCCTCATCAGCGCTCCTAACCTCTCCATGTAGCCCGGCTCTCCCGGTTGGGGTTCCGTGGCTCCCTCTCCAAATGCGTCTCCGGAAGTCGCCATTGCAAGTCCAGAGACAGCAATGGGTCGGGTCAGTGCCTCCTGGCCAGCCCCTCCTCCAGCGTTGCCGCAAGCTCCAACTGATCAGGTCGGATCTTCCTGTGGCTTCTCCTGAAGGGATTGTCCAAGTCACTGTACCTTCTCTGATGCTTTGTTCCTCCTCTGCGCTTCTTCTTACCTGATGTCGACTTCTGATGATGGGTCCTATTTTCACTGTGGTGGTGCCGCTTGTGCTCACTCCTCCTCTCCGCAGGCCTGTCACTTCGTTGCCCTGGTGGAGGCCCCTCGGGCTCAGGTGGCCGTCCACCACCCGAGTCCTCCTTTTTAACCTCTGTCGGAGGCTCTTCTTCCTCTTCCTCCTCCTCCTCGAAGATGTCGCTGTCGCTTTCCCGGTCTACACTAGGCTCAGCTGCAGCAGCACGAGCCGGGGACCTGCGCAAGGGCGGCCGAGTGTCCCGCCTAGGCGACCTTGACGGTGGCCTTGAAGCGCGGCTCTTTGCCGAAGTTTCGGGTGCACGGTTTGAACCAGCAACCCCCACCTGGATCTGCTGGTCCAGGTTAGAGAAGGCCCGCACCAGCCTAGCTCCTGACAGAAGAGCCTCCTCTGCCACCAGTCGGAGGGGTTGACTCCTCCAGGGCTGCCTCAGCACGTTCTGAGCGTGCTCGAGGCTTGCACAGCCGAGACACCAAGTGTCTCCCTCTTGTGCCACACTGCGCTTGCACTTGTTGCAAGGCGGTGGCATGCCCAATCCCAAGTTTGAGCCTAAAGCATCAAACACACAGAACATGCGCTTTCACCCCAACCGTCGATACGACAATCAGACTTGCTTGGTTCCTCACCAAGCGGTCTCTTGCGAGCTCTGTCAATTGGCTCCTCACCTTTGACTCTGCTCTCAGACAGCGTCTCGCTTCCAAGTCCTTCAGACTCTTGAAGCAGACTTTTAGCGGTGCTCAGAGCCCCTGTGGTCTCAAAGTCCACGAGCTCTTCACCATCAAGTGAAACTGACTGAAACGAATTCTGACAAAATGTCTCCTCATGCTGTTGTTTCGCCTCTGCACGCCCTAGTCAGTTGTTACGCTTCTTCAAATTGCAAACCAACTGTGAATGATTTGGTTTGTGACAAAATGCACAAACATGAAGTCCTTTGGCGCACTTTGCAACCTTTGCCCCACTGATGAGTGGTGCTTGACATCCACTCTCTAAATTGAATGCCCAACAAACGTTCTGCCCATCCTTCGTCATGGTCTCCATACCTGCCAAAGCATCAGGCTTGCTCTTGTCTGATTTTTTCGATGCCTTGAACTTTTTCTTTGGCTGCGTCTTGGCCGTCGGCGCTGCCTTTGGAGCACCAACATTGGTCCCTTGACTGGCATTCCCTGGACTGCTCTTGGCAAGCTGCGGCAAGGGTAATAAAAACATTGTCACTCTTGGGTCCGACCGCAACCTCAGCACATGTGCATCAAAAGGCGGTTCATCCGCACCCACTGCTGCAACCACTGCTCCAGTAAAAGCCTTTGACATCTCAGTCCACAACTGCTTGTCCGCTTTGATGAGCTGCTCCAACGTGACCTTTGCATGTCCTGGTGGAGGTGGTGTATTGAGAGTTGTCAGCAATTGGTTGATCCACTTCGACTGGCATTCCCAGCTGCTCAACCTAACTTGATCTAGGGCTAACGCCCTTCTCTGCAAACACCATTGTAGTTGGATCGTAGATCCACATTCAGCTTCCAGCGCACTGTCAGGTGCTGACAGCTTTAACGTCTGATGTTCGAGCTGTACGACCGATGGAAGGTTTTTTGCTCCATGTTGGATCTCTTGATCCCTTGAAGTCGCCTTGCTTGGCGCTATCCACTGCACACAGTTTGTTTCTATCATGTTGTTCACAGTGTCCACCAAGTGATATGAAGGCTGCATTTCACCTTCGATGTCCACTCCAAGCAAGCGTCTTTTTTGATCTGCTAGACGCGTCTGTTTCTCGACCACTGGGAGCTTCTGCTTTCCATCCTCCTGGTCACCAGTGACTCGTGCTTTGAGCTGTGCAACCACTAAAGTCGATGCCTCAAAATGCACCCTTCTGAAAGCACTGTATGTAGCCATGTCATAACCTGGCTGCAAAACTCGGTCTGCAAACCCTCTGAAAGCATCGTCACTCGGCGGCGTCTGTGGAGTGCCGACCGCAAAAGCCAGCGCACTAAAAGTTCTGATTCCACTATTGGTGATGGCCAGTCTAGCTGCTGCATTGGCCACCACTTCACGCAGGCGCTGCTCAAACGCAGCTTCGCTGTCAACTAGGGCCATGCCGGTCAAGCTGCACTGGTTCAACAAACTCAAAAGAAATGAATGTCAATATGACTGCATCAGTCATGCAAAAGTTTCTGACATGTCGACCATGAAACTCTTGAGATTACTCAAGCCTCTGCACCCAGCGGCTGTGTGAGCCCGTCTCACAAAGTTCCATGTCTCTGACATGTCACGAGTTGCAAACATGAATCAACAACTTGCACACTTTCATTTGCGTACATGTCACTTGATTTCATCGCAACTTTGATCAACGAGTTTTAAAATCATGCACTCAAGATTAAACGGTTCGATCTGCTCCTCACTCTTTTGGGCCTGACCTCATTTAAGGCTCCGACGCAACTGCTTCTTGCAGACAAGTGAGACTGCTGCCGAAACTGTTGGGTGCATGCTGAAACAACATGAAAGTGAAGCAAATGATTGACATGAAATGACAACTGCACAAACACGAAATCACGACCTGCACCTTTGGCCTCAACTGCAACAAGTGTCATCTATGTTTAAAGCACTTCCAACAAATGCCACTGTCCCACCTTGGGTGGATGCCATCACATGTATGGAAGGCTCCCGGCTTACGACCGCACTCGAAAATGCCTGGGGTCTTGTAGTTGACCAAGTGAAGGATCTTGGACTTGGTGTGCTGCCACATAGTGAATCCTTCAGGTGCAGTTGGTGGTTCAAAAGTCTTGCATCCAGTGTCTTCAAAAGAAGTATCTGCCTCTTCTGTCTCTGAAACATCACTGCTAGACGTCTCTGTGCAAGCATCATTGATTTCGGTTTCACAATTTTCCGGTATGACCTCAGGTAAGGCCTTAGAAGGCTCCGCCCTGGCTGCCGTCTGAATCAATTCCCAGACGTTCAACTCACCTTCATCATCACTGATTTCAATTTTTGGTGCATCCTGAGTTGACTCCAAGCTCACAGCGAGGCCGCCACCAGTGTCAGCCTTCTTCACCAATCTGCCACTGCGAGTGCAATCAGGCATGTATGTGCCTTCCCTGATCTCTGACAGCATTTCCCCTAAGATTTGAAGAGGACGCGCCATGCCATCCCTGCTGTACGTGAGTCCCATAGTGAAAGGTGAAGTGTGATACCCCAACAGCAGCCTGTCTGGCATGTCAACACCACGCTTGGCTAAAAAGGATAGCATTGTACATTTCAATGAATGGCTGGAGACTTTGCGTTCACTCACATCATGATCATTGAGCTCCAGCAAAGCCCTGAGCCAACAACCAGCTTCTTCTGAGTCAAGAGCACGCTTGCCCGGCAATCCAGTTTCCAGAGGAGCGGGCATCAAACGAAAACCATCTTCAAAACTAATTGCTAACTCCTTTCTCACGTTTTCCCAAAGAACACCCCAGTTCTGTTCTGTGACTCCGACTGCTGGTGCAACTAACGGCAAGAACTGGTGCCTGTGCTGCAGAGCTCTCACTGTTTTGTGTAAACCTGTTAAGGCCTCAACGTAACACACAGTATCTCCATCCCTGTCAAAGGTCAGTCTTGAGGAATGTTGTGCATCGCTCCACCTAGCCCTTGAGTACGTCACAAAAAGAACTGCACCACAAAACATTCGATCCCAAACTTCATGACCAAATTCCAGAATGTTGTGCAATTTGACAAGTTCAGAAACTCTAAGAGGACTGGCCTGGCGCTTCTGCGTTGGGGTGTCAGTTGTTGAAGCTCCCCAACATCTCCTGCCCTTCAAGCGCACATCACACTCTGTAACTCCCATGCAGTATCGTACAAATGCAATTGCTTCCAGAATGCCCTTAGACTTGGAGGCCGGAAATCCCTGTTGTCGCAGTTTGCAAAGGATGCCATGTAGTGCAGGTTCTGTGCAAGGAAATTCATGACCTACCAATTCTGGTTGTTCACAAAAACTTCATGCTGTTTGCACGCTTAGTCAAAGTGCTTGGTGCTTTTCCACGAAAAACATCTCCCACCAAAATCAATTATGCATTGACACTGTCGCAACCTGAAAGACATTGCACAAATTCAATTTCACGTGTCCAGGACGATGAAATGACCAGCCAATGTTTGAGTGCTCTCTGCAAGTGTGCCTCACGTTTTTCCTGCCATGTAACATCTTCAGAGCTCTTGACGCAACTTCTGAAAAGAGGTTCAGCAAAAACTTAGGAACTCGGCAAACATTGTTTTTTGTAAATGTCAGCACTCGTTTCATCCATGTGAGCAGTTTCGTCAACAGGAACAGGACGTTTGAAGTTGTTTTCAAGTTTTGGTCCAAACGCATCATCACCAAAAATGCACTTCCAAAAACCACTGTTCCAAATGGGCTCCACAGTATCTGATGCCAGGGCGTCCCACGCTGCACCAACTGCATGTCCAAAGTTAACATGGCTCACATGCTGAGCAGAGGCTTCGACTGGAGTAGACTCCACCTGGTCACCTTCTCCCACACTCAAGGCTGCTGCTGAAGGAAAGTGTAAACTCGAAGAAGCAGAACCAAACAAATTTCGATTGTCTTCTCCAGATTCCACAGAAACGTTGTCATTCACTTCAGAAGCCATTAAAATCCCCCATGCATCTTTTGCCACCGAGTGAAACAAAACACAAAGGGGAACCCTCCCACCACACCCTTAAGCCATAATGTTGCACACGCAACATACAATTACAACTGACTCATTTGGTTGAGTTAAGTTGTTGAAAGGTTGTGTGAAAAATTGGTTTTGCAAGTTGTTGTTTCTGCGTAGCAGTCAAGGTTGAATGTTTGCCACAGCTAACTCTTGTTTTTCAAACCAAGAGTTTTCAAAAATTGGAAATAAGGTTTTCATCCCTCCGGGAGTAAAAACAAACTCCGCTTGGTATGGACGACACTAAGCAGAATTGGAAGTGGGCAGACGTAGGCTCTCGTCGGATGCCCCGATCACCCCTGACATACCCGACGGTGATGGTGGACGACGAGAATGGAATCCGCCGACCCGCAGCCAGCCAGGTCCATCACAGGACGCTCTTTCAGTGGATTGTGGACAACCTCTCCTGCGTATCGCAATATGACACTGTCTATGTCTTTGTGGATAACCGTATGCTATCAGGAACCAATCCTCCTGAGTACTGGCAGTATTTAGCACCATGGATCTGTGCCTAGTCTTTCCCACGGTAAACTTTGCACTTACAGACTCGGATTGTGTGCCCACCTCGCTCTTTGAAGTCGCCGAACTGGTAGGCGTCCCTGTGGAGTAGTTGGTCTACCGGTGGTGGTTCGATTCCCCGCTGGTCCGCAGGTAAGCCTCAAGTGTGGTGACCAGTCGAAAGACAATGGCGCCGGCCACAAAAAAAATTGAAGTCGCCGAACTGGTCAATCTCATGACAGATAAGGCGAGCAGAGCTGAGGCAATGCAGCACTACACTATGGCCAGTTCCAGTCAATGCCCGCCGGCAGTTCTGCTCACGACTGAAGCTAAAGCGGAACTCAACGCTGGGTTG